TGAGCTGTGATGCCATGGCACTCTACCCAGGGGGATAGCTTGAACCTCCATCTCCAAACAAAAAAAAAAAAAAAATGTCAAACAAAAAAGCAAAATTCACTGATCCAGGAAGTTGTACTGGTTGAATCATATAAATAGGTTCAAGAAGGATCTGGAGACAGTGACAGAAAACTGAACTATAATTGGAGGTACGGTTTGACACAAAAGGCACTATGCTGGATTCTATTCTAAGCTCTGCCATGTACCTCTCTGGACCCTCACTTCCTTCAGCTGTAAAAGGAGAACAGCAGCTATTTCACAGAGTAATTGGCAATTAAACAAGACACAGCAAGGTACCTGGCATACAGTGGGTACTCCATAAATGGGAACAAAATATTACTATCATCTTGAAATACACAGTGCTTTACAATTTATAAAAGATTTACCATCATTAGAACTGCCCAATTCCCTGAGGGTCCACACATTTTTCAAAGGAAGGCTCTGAGGCCCAGATACTTTCAGTGTCCTATCCAGAGGCACAGGGGAGTTAAGTAAAGGACCGAGACCAGAGTCCCGGCCTTGCACGCCTAACCCCCACTCCTGCTTCTCTGTCCACACTGCAAACTAGGAGTTAAAAGAAGCTCAGTGTGACTTGTTGGCAGAGCGTTCTCTCCATGCCTCCAAATCCAAATCCATCTATTCCTAGAACAATTCTGCCTAATCACCAAGCTTTGGAGTTGGAATGGACCTTCAAGATTAAGAAAGAGCAAAAAATCAGAACCATCATAAAATCCCAACATCAGGAAATAAATCACATAAAATGTGTCTGGTAAAAAATAACTGAAAAACTTAAACTGAATATGTCCTCACGTAAAGACAATATACACAGTACAGATACACTAAAGTCACCTCAAATCCTTTTGGGAACTAGGTAACCTCCTGGCATATAACAAGACAAAAAATATATATTGAAATATTAAAAATCATCATTTGTATGGAAATGAAAAATGCTTTCTTCCTTTTTAATGTTCTATAATTCTTAATTTCTTCCAATAAGCATCACTAAAAGGACAAAGTCCATTTTCTAAATTGAATTTTAAATATTAAAATCTAGTTCAACCACCACCTTTTACAGATGGTAAACCCAAAGTCACACACAAACAAACACACACACACACACCCCCCAGGTTATTGGCCAAGCTTACCTTAGAGGCTGGTCCTCCATTCTCTTTTTTTTTTTTTTAGACGGAGCCTCAAGCTATCCCCCTGGGTAGAGTGCCATGGCATCACAGATCACAGCAACCTCCAACTCCTGGGCTCAAGCGAATCTACTGCCTCAGCCTCCCAAGTAGCTCGGACCACAGGTGCCCACCACAACGTCTGGGCATTTTTTGGTTGCAGCCATCATTGTTGTTTGGCGGGCCAGGGCTGGGGATTCGAACCCTCCACCTTAGGTGTATGTGGCTGGCGCCTTAGCCGCTTGAGCCACAGGCGCCGAGCCTGGTCCTCCATTCTCAATCTGGAATTCTCTCTACTACAACCATTAAATTAACTCCTACTGGCTGAGATGGCCTATCAATAGCTCATGCCAAGATCAATCATGGCTGAGAACTTCTAGCAAACAACACCAAAGATTTTGGTCTTAAACTAGCTTCCAGGAGTCAAACACTGAAATTTGAAAAACGACATCTGACGGCCCAACTCTTACCAAAATTACTATGAAATACAGAAATTCCTGCCTGCTTCCTGCCAAATTTCTACTTGGACTTACCTACCCACTTCTAAATGCCATGACTCTTTGTCACCCACACCCTCCAGTCAGTACCAACCATGCCTCCAGCCCAAAGCAACTCCCTCTTCCATCAGGATCATTCATTCTTAGACTTGTAATTAGGGTTGGGGCCTCATGGAGAGCCACAAGGAATAAAAAACAATGTAATCGAAAGAAGAGGGCTCAGGTATGATTTTATCACTGTACAGATGAGAAGAGTGAGAACCAGAAAGGCGAAAGAAGTTACTTCCTCAGAATCACAAAGGATAAATGGTAAAGCTGAGACCAATTTCCGAGTCCCCAGGCCCTTTCCACTTGCTAACTCCAGGCACCAAAGCGCACGATGGAGTGCCAGTTTCCTCACGTGCAAAGGAGAGCATTATCCGAAGGAATCTCCCCTGTCTGGGCACCCAGGCAGCACAGGAGCCACACTCAGAATGAGACAGGAAGCCTCCCCTTTAATCTTCACCAGAGTCTTCTGTACCTGGTGCTACTTTTTAAATGTTGCCCCTTTTTAAAAAGAGGAAACAGAGGCCAGAAAAAGTTAATAGGCTAGAAGGAAACTCCAAGCTGGCTTGACTTCAAACCTCATGCTCTGAACCTCTACAGCACTCTGCCCCCACAAAGGCCCTCCTCCAGGGGGTGGTGGTGAGGACCTAAGGAACTGAGGCAGAGGGTTTCCAGCACCCAGCACAGCCGCAGCCGTGTGAATGAATGGCCCTCCCTGAGCTTCACCACCTCACCCTTCCGACCTGCTCAACTGCCACCCAAAAGGAGTGACCTCTTTCTGTGCCCATTTATGCCAACAATTATGCATTCACAGCACAAGACCCAGTAAGGACTTAGCACTCCACTGAGAAAGTGTCATGAGGGCAAGGATGGGACTGGAGGTCGCAGTCAGAAAATTACACCAACAAGCAAACTTTTATTTGTGTTTTAACGGCTCCTTTTTCATGCTATGCTGTTTATTCTTACAGAAGAAATACATAAATACAAAAGCACAGATAACCCTAAAGCTCTCCTCCGCTACTCCTCACTCCCACCTCGGTGCCCATAGTAGAGGTCATCACTATTGTCAAAAAGACCTGCAAGGTGGGAGGATCGCTTGAGGCCAAAAGTTCAAGACCAGCCTGCGCAACACAGCAAAACCCCGTCTCCACAAAAAATTTTTTAAAAAATTAGCCAGGTGTGACGGCATGTGCCTATAATAACTATTCAGGAGACTGAGGCAGGAGCACCACTTCAGCCCATGAATTTGAGACTGTAGTAACCTATGATTGGGCCACACTACTCCCTTCAGCCTGGGCAACAGACTAAGATCCTGTCTCTAACAAGAAAAAAGAAAAAAAAGACCTGTATCCTTCCAGACCTTTTTCTATAAATTCATATACATAGACGTGGTTTTAATTTTGTGGCTTAAACATAAAATAAATACAATCAAACCATATACATTATTCCACACCATCTTTACTATGTCCTAACAATGTTTTCATGACAGTACAAACAGACCTGTCTCGATGTTTTTAACTCCTACAAAGCATTCAACAGTAGTGTTTTCCAAACTTTATTGACTATGATCCACAAAAGATATTTCGCTTAATCCCTGAAATGTTTTCTATTCTGCTCTAGTCTACTTAATCCTGGTTGCAACTTACTAAATTGAATTTCATAAGCTACCAATGGGCCACAAACAATCTGAAAGACACTTTTGAAAGGATATGTATTCACCCAATCCTCTACTGACAGTAATTCAACTTGTTTCCAAGTTTTTCTTTTACGATTTTATATGAATATCCTTATACAAGTCCCACGGTGCACATGTATGAGGATTTCTCTAGAACAGACAATCAGAAGTGGAATGGCAGGGTCAAAACATATTAACGTTTTGGCTGGGTACAGTGGCTCCCACCTGTAATCTTAGTACTCTGGGAAGGAAAGGTAGGGTGATTCCTTTAGCTCAGAAGTTCAAAATCAGACTGAGGAAGAGCAAGACCCCATCTTTACTAAAAATAGAAAAGTTAGCCAGGCATTGTATGAGGTGCCTGCAGTCTGGGCTATGGAGGGGGGCTGAGGCAGGAGGATGGCTTGAACACAGGAGTTTGAGGTTGATGTGACCTAGGATAATGCCATGATACTCTACCTCAGGGCAAGAGAGTGAGACTCTGTCTCAAAAAACAAACAGGGGTGGCACCTGTGGCTCAAAAAGGGTAGGGCCCCAGC